CCGAACTCCATCCTGTACACATAAGTTAAGTACATGGCAAACACATCTAGTATGAAGAGCTTCACCGTCTAATAGTACATCGGTTAAGTTTTGTTTGATAAGATTAGCTGTGTATGTCATAGAGGTTGCATTATCAAAAGTCATAGACATCATTTTATCTCGAAGGTTGTATTCGTCTATTGCTTGCATTAAATGGTGAGCAATGTTAATGCCGGTGTGTGGGTATTCCAGCATTTTGAAATGTATTATTCTTTTTTGTAACATCCATTGATCATCTACCCAATGGCAAGTCACACATAAATAGTGATATTTATAACCACTATCCCAAGAATCGGCTGTTAAAGATACTCTACAGTTAAGGTTACTCAATTCGGCTTGTAACCGGACTTTGTACTCTAGGAAATTTTTCATTGCGGCGGAACGAACGGTTTTCCTAGAGATTATTTTATGTTGGGGTTGTAGTGCTTTGTTAATGTAGGTGTTGAATGCGTCACTTTCCGAGAAAAGAAAAGGTTGTTCGGCGTGTACTATCATTTTTCCTAGTTCATCCCTATCCCTCTCATAGTTGTATGTAAAGTCGTATGGATGGAATTGGGAAATTTTGGGCTGGGTTGGATCACTAGCTGGTTTTGCACAAGCTTTCATGTGTCTAGATAAGTGTCCCGTCCCGTTTTTGGTAACTGCCGTGAATACACTATTACATGTTTTACATTTTGCCCATTGTTCACCATCTTTACTTAGGACAAAATAACGCCATACCTCACTCCTTCGGTTTTTCAAAAGTAGCATCTCAATTTCGGTTAACCATTCATGATGTGTGTGATGGTTAGTAGTGAGACTAGTGGGAGTGGCAGTAGAAGGGGTAGAACCGGAGGGAATTCGGGTACTTTCTTGGCTACCTTGGCTAGAACAATAGTTTTGTTGATCACCGATATAATTAGGTGGAAATTGGTATGGTGGTAGTGGAAATTGGTTTAGTGGTGGTGCTGGAAATCCCGACGTATTATATGGCTCATAGCCCGGGGGGAAGTAAATGGGGTCATTGGTTTGACTCGTAATTTGGGGGCTCGTTGTATTTGGTGGTTCCCTAGAACTACTATTACGGATAAGTCAGCCTTTCCCCCTAGACCTAGATGATGGGTTGTTCGATGCCATAATTAACAATTAATTTTTTAATAAAAAGTGGTTAACTATAATAATAATAATTAATAACAACAATTTTAACAATAAAAATATCAATAATATTAATTAATAACAACAACTATAACAATAACAATAACAACAAAAATAAATAATAACAACAATTGTAACAATAATAATAATTAATAACAACAATTATAACAACAACAATAACAATTAACAACAATAATAATTAAACAAGATTATTCTAATAATAACAATAAAACAATAATAAATTTAAGATTAGTTTAGATCTTACAACCTTGCTTCAACGCTCCACTAATTACGATTACGAACTTTTTAATTTTTTCCGATATTAGGAAAATAATTAGAGAATTTAAGAGAATAATTAGAGAATTTAAGAAAATAAGGATTATTAGAGATTTAGAGAATATAAGAGATAAGAAGAAGAGATTGTGATTTTGTGATTTGGGAATGAAATGGAGGTGAGTATTTATAGAATTTTTGGGGAGCAAATTGGCAAAAAACTAGCCGTTTTTTAGCCGTTTTTTTGGCTTATTAGAGCTAGAATAAACGGTAACATTACCGTTGGCCCGCGGGCCGTGCCTACGGGCCAGCACGGCGGGCCATGCCGGGCCGTGCCTGGGAATTCTCAACCCTGTCCGTGGCACGGCCCGTGGCACGGGAGTTGAACTTCGTGCCGTGTCGTGCTTGAATTCGGGCCGTGCCGGGCTGCGCCGAACGGCGGGCCGTGCCGGGCGGCACGCGGGCCAACCCGGCCCGTGCCCAGGTTTAGTTGCCACAATCATGTCATCGCTTTATTAATTTTTCTATTTTCTATCTTACTTGAAAAAATGGAATCTAATAATCCCACCTATTGTGTCTTCTATAAACAATTCCATCTTTTGAAATTCCAAAAACAATCCCATTTTTGACAGGGATCTTCCATTAACAATCCCTGACCGGTTGGATTGTTTTGGTAATCGGTTTTCTTAGGTTTTTTGCCATGTGTTGAATTTTAATAGGTTTATTCTAATTTTTAATAATTATATAAAAAAAAACCCAAAACCCCAGCCCCCCCCCCCCACTACCTTCTCGACCCCTCTCCATCTCCGCCTCTGCTTTCCCCGGCAACCCAACCCAACCCAACTCTTTCTTTATCATCTTCAATCTTCAATATATAGCTCACTTTCTCAAACATTAATCTCAAATTTGCAGAAAAATCATCACAATTCCCTTAAATTCCTAGAGGTTTTGGGTGGGGGGTTTGGTTTTGTTGATGGGATTTGGTGGTGTCGGGTATGTGGTGGTAGTTCAGGTGAGGGGGATGTCAGTTCAGGCGGGGTTGGGGGGTTTGTTTTCGTTGATGGAGGTAGGGTGATGTCGAGTCTGTGTTGGAGATTGGTTGAGGGAGGTTCAGGTGAGGGTGGTGTTTGGTTCAGGTGGGGTTGGGGGCTTTGGTTTCGTTGATGGAGGTTTGGTGGCGTCAGATCTATGGTGGAGATTATGGGTGATGGTTAGGGTTTCAAGTGGTTGGGGTTTCAGCTAAAGTGGTGGCTACAGTCAGGGGAAGTGGTTGGGGTGGTGGTTTCGGGTTGGAGTGAAGGTGAGGTGGTGGTGGCTTGGTTTAAAATTGGTGAGGTGGGATGTAACACCCCAACCCCAAACAAATTATGGAGGGACCTATTGTCACGAAATGCGCATCAAGGGCCAACAACTGTTCTCACAAACCAACATAAGTCTTTCCGGCACATTTTATCCTCACTCATAACGCCCTCGTTGCGCCTAGAGGGATTCCAGTATTCGCCTTATGGCAACTGGGTAGCTAAAGTGTTACATCCAGTCTGGATATGGCCAAATGGCCTCAGAATTCTCCCCCGCTAGGCGACTGACAAAGGATTAATTATCCACAATCAGCACGTGATTGCAGGGTTGCTCTAATACCTTGTAACACGCCGACCCCAAACAAATTAGGAAGGGGCCTATTGTCACGAAATGTGCATCAAGGGCCAACAACTGTCCTCACAGATAACACAAGTCCTTGCGTCACATTTTGTCCTCACTCATGCGCACCCCGGGAAAATTTCCTAGGAGATCACCCATCCCAAGACTACTCCCACCCAAGCACGCTTAACTAAGAAGTATCTTAGCATATGAGCTCCCTAAAAGGAAGATGCATCTTCTTGGTATGAGTATATTAAACTCCCTTAAAGCAATCATGAGGGGTATTAGAGGTAGGAAGGGAGGTGGTGGTGGCGGCTTGGTTTAATTTGGTGAAGGTGAGGTTGTGGTGTTGTGGTGCCATGGAAAGGGAAGTGGGAGGAGATGAATTCAATAAAAAAAATAAAAAAAATTTGATCAGTTTAACCGGTTACAGGTAAAAGGGATTGTTAAAAGAAGATTAGGGTGAAAGGTGGGATTGTTTCTGGAATTTCAAAAGGTGGGATTGTTTATGGAAGATGGAGCAAAGGTGGGATTATTAGTTTCCATTTTTCCATCTCACCTATAACCACTTTTATAATCAATTTTGTAACCAAAATGTATCATAATGGTTGACCACAAATTTTTGGATAAACATTTTCTCTCTGCTACTTTTATCCAACTCCACCACACAATATCTCTCTTAAATGCTATCATAGAAAACTAATGCACTTGTTAATAATCAATCAAAACTAATAATTATATGGTAACATACATTTAGATTAAATGACTTATAATTAAATATAATGCAATTTAGGATTTAATTAGTAAGTAATTAGTCGTTCATTAAGAAATAAACGATAATTGTAACTTTACTTAATTCCATAATAATAACCATAATACATATTCTAATAAATGACAAGAGTCTTTGAAAGATAGCAATCGTGATTAACTACAAAAATAATAATTTAATGTTACGATTACACATCCATTAACGCATATTATTTTGCCTCTTATTAATACCAAATTTGAGCCACAAATGGTCCACTAAGTCTTTCTTTAGGGCTTTATGTATAGCATCATCCCGAACACGAGCTCTATTAGACATATTATTTTCCAAACTTGCAATTCGGTTGTTATTATTTTGGAACTTAAAAGGCTCTTCATTATTTCATTACTTGAAGACACTAGTGTAGCTCGATCATATTCATTTGGATCGTAATACGTTTTATATTTATCTCTTTTATCCTAAACAATCATATTGTGTATAATGATACACGCTATCATTATTTTTCCTAACATTGATGCATCACGAGCTAGTGCAGGATTCCGTATTATTACAAAACGAGCTTGTAGTAATCCAAAAGTTCGCTCAACCTCCTTTCGTCTAGCTTTTTGTACTTTGGCAAAAAGGCCTTCTTTTTCATTTTGTGGTAGTGATATTGTAGAAATGAACATCGCCCATTTAGGATAGATATATACCATCAGTGAGATAATACCCCATATTGTATTGGCGATCATGCATAACATAGTCAATAGGTAGTGCACGACCTTCAAATACATCGTTAAATAAAGGGGATCAATCAAGTACATGAATATCATTATGACTACCCAATGTCCCAAAAAAAGCATGCCAAATCCAAAGATCATATGATGCCACAGCTTCCAAGATTAATGTGGGTTTACTTGGTCTTCCAGAATACATACCTTTTAATAGAAGTGGACAATTTTTCCACCGCCAATGCATGTAATCAATAAAACCTAACATGCCTAGAAATCCTCGACGTTCACCAATTCTTAGTAGTCTTACCAGATCATCTTCATTGGGCTTTCCGAGGTATTCATCAAGAGACAATTCTTTTCACAAAATGTTGTAAGGAATGCACTAATTCGAATGTAGTCATCCACGGAATCAACATAAGTGCCATAAGCTATTAGCCTCATACAGCTGTGCATTTTTGCAATGCAAAGGCACTAAATCTTCCTGTAGCATCTTGTCTTTGCTGAAAGAAGAGATGACGCTCTTCTAAAGTTTGCTTTATACGGAGAAAGATATGTTTGTTCATGCAAAATCTTCGACGAAATAAGTGTGAATGGAACACAAGAGGGTCAGAAATGTAGTCATTCCATAAACGATTGTGTCCATCCTCACGATCCCTTGGAACAGGGATTCTGGGTGCCCTTGGAACTTGATTTAACATTTTATACATTTCAATTGGAGTGGACATAAGAACTTCATCCATCAATGAGACGATGGCTTGCCTTCGTCTTTCATATCGTTGGTTTTGGCTATGTTCTGAACTAGTAGAGGAATTAGAAGAGGAATTAGAAGAGTTGGAGCTTTCATCGGATGACATGTGTTTAGAACCTAACTTTATATGAGAATGGAAGGTTGAGTTTTGTTAAAGGAAAGAATAGATGGTTGATCGAGTGAAATGCATCTCAACCATCTTACAAATGTGTATAGTGTAAAGTCATCTTTATTGTCTTATGTGATAATATAAGTAACTTTTAAATCTTGCATGCATTGATTTAGAAAAGTAGGTGATGATTTTTCAGTATAATGTAAATCAATGCATTTGTATTTTCACTATTACTTTTGCATTGTTATGTACATCAAAGCATAGTAATGTTACTATTACCTTTTCAGAGTTAGGTATATACATCAATGTATAGTATTTTCGCTATTACCTTTTTAGTGTTACATACATCAATGTCTAGTGTTTTCAATATTAGCTTTTGAGTGTTGGATACTGTAGGGAATTTTCCAAACACAACTTTGAGCCCCAATGTGATTCACGCTTTTAGTCATGGTGGCGTCTAAAGGGAAATAAGCTAGAGATAAAAGAGTCGCCAACAAGTTTCAGGAACTTGTAAACCGTTCACGGATGTGAAGGTTACACCCCATTCACGATCACGGAGATCGCTAACTCCATAGTGGTTCGGAAACACGACTGGATATTCAGGGATGATGGTACGAATCCAACCTAAAAGAGATGGAACCCGCCCTAAATCGGCCTCTACTTAATTCTTATGATATTTATGTGCGCTTCCCGATCATACATACAACAAGTTAGCCCTAAGCCTATTTAATCTATGTTGATTGATTATTAATGCACAAATAAGTCTATTATTGGCGATCACATGAATTAAAATCATATTAAGCCTAAATCAAATTATTAATTATCTTATTAGGCGTGATTTCAAGTACAAATTCCCTTTAAACCTACAGAAAGGGGCGTGATCAAGCAATAACAATTAATCATGAATAATCAAGCAATGTATAATTGACACAACAATCATCATTGTTTCGGGGTTTTTTGATGTGTCCTGCGAGAGAGTTACAACATCGGGAATGCACGCCTGACTTCTGTACCTATAAAACCACGAAACTCCGGTTGGGTGGAGTTCCGCCTCCGAAGATCAAGTTAGAATGATTCCGGATGAGATTACGTGCGGAAAGTAAATGGGTTTTTCTCTCGGATTCCGGGAGATTCCGCAATTAATATTGCTCGGGTTTGGTGTCGGTATTTATGAATCCCAATAAATGAGGATGATTCCTCTATTTATAGCAGATGAAGATCTGCTCCCCCATTGGGGGTACAATTCCACGTGGCATCCATTGGTTGGATGCCCATGGTGCTATAGGGAGGTGACACGTGTCGGTCCCTCATTGGGCCACGTGTCTAGGGTAATTTTTACCCTAAACATTTGCCCGTCACAGGTGCTGACGTGGTCGTGCCACGTGTGGCGCCTGTGACATGTGTCAAGAGGCAGGAGGGCGACGGTTCGCCTCCTTCCCTCCATTTTTCAAATTTCAAGCTAAGGGGGAAGAGAAGGTGACGGTTCACCTTCTAAGATTTCCTATAAATAGGGATCTCCTTCCCTTCATTCCTCACTTTGCCATTTTTTAGAGAGATTCCTTGAGAGAAAAAGAGAGAGCTCTTGAACCCGCTTGCTTGCTTATGCAAACAGCCTCCATCCTCACTACATCCGGATACCGTTTGTGTTTCATTGCCCGTCTCACTAAGGTATCCTCCTGACTTAAGTCAGTTTCTTTATTTAGATGTTTGGTTATGCTGCAGTTGGCCTTTGCCGTCTGGAGCTTCTTTAGGCAATTTTTATGATGAATTGCATCTTTTTATAATCTTAGCCGGTTTAAACCGTCTGAGGCATCTTTAAGCAACCTCATTGGTGAGTTGCATTCAATAGACCCTCAGCCGGTTTACACCGTCTGGGGCATCTTCAAGCAATCTCATTGATTAGTTGCATTCAATAGACCCTCAGCCGGTTTACACCGTCTGGGGCATCTTCAAGCAATCTCATTGGTGAGTTGCATTCAATAGACCCTCAGTCGGTTTACACCGTCTGGGGCATCTTCAAGCAATCTCATTGGTGAGTTGCATTCAATAGACCCTCAGCCGGTTTACACCGTCTGGGGCATCTTCAAGCAATCTCATTGGTGAGTTGCATTCAATAGACCCTCAGCCGGTTTACACCGTATGAGGTATCTTTAATAAAAAATTCTTTTGAGCTGCTTCGCTGTTCCCTCAGTCGGTCTCACATCGTCTGGGGTATGAGTGAGCAATTCCCTTCTGGCATTATACCGTCTGGGGTATCCGCGAACAAACTCTTGATTTTTTGTTGCATCGGATGCCTAACCGGCTTTCTGCCGCCTGTGGGGGTTCCGAGCAATTTTCTTCGTAAGCAGTCTAGAATGGTCCTTAGCCGGTTTACACCGTCTGGGGGTGTTTGGACAACCTTTCAGAAAATCTCCAAACTACTTGCTCTGCATGTCTACCACAACCGGCTTTTCTCGCCTATGGTATCTTTGGGCAACATTGGTGATTAACTTTTCTCCCTTTTGCCAATTTGCAGTCTGCTCAAAGTGATACCGTCTGGGGTATCGTTGGTCAACAATCTTTCGTCTCCTTTCTCCAAACTTTTCTTCAATTTCAAGGTAACGTCTCGGTTCCTTGCTCTTTGGAGTTTCTTTATTTTTAAATCTTCTAGCTGTATATATTTTAAAATAATGACCTCACCCATCACACACACGGCACACCACAATTTAGAAGCCAACTGGTCTCCTGATACGGCTGAGTCTAGGATTGGGGGTGCCGCCTCTGGGTACTGGGAGTCTCCTTGTTCATCTCCGAAACCGACCGTCTCTGTCTCTGTGCAGGACGCAATGGCTCAAACTAAATGGACTTCATTCGATCCAGAGTATAGAGAGAACTCTAGGGAGTTGCTGCTTGACCCTCAGGTAGAGATGACAAGGGGGTCACCGCATGGCACCCCAAGCACTCCTAGTGATGGGATTTTTGGTATGGATCAGGGAGGCGGTGAAGATACCGCCTCTCCTTCTAAGGTCGAGCTGGAAAACCCAGCAGGGAATGCAAGCGATGGCGAGACCGCCTCCTCATCTGGCTCAGAACAAAGCGACAGTAGTAGCAGCCTCTTGACACCGGATGCTGATAGTGAGGCGGAGGAAAGGCCTACTTGGAACAATAAAGGCGATCCCTTCCTCATTGCCATCTTAGCTAAGGATAGGGCCAACATGGCCAACAATTTAGCAGACTTTGTAAAGATCCGTCCTCTTGGAGAGGATTGGAGAATAATTGTGCCGCCTAAGATGGGCACTATCGTTTGGGAGGACGAGCAGCCCAATGCAAATGGGTACTTCGGCTGCTATGAAGCGGCATTTCTGGCTGGTCTCTGATTCCCTCTTCACAATACAATCAAGGCCATCCTTCGAGGGTATGGCCTGGGCGTCTGACAATTAACCCCTAATTCTTGGGTTAACATCTTGGGATACATAGCCACCTGCGAGATGCAGGAACTCAACCCCGGCTGGGAGGCCTTTGCTCACATGCATTATTTGAGCAGAAGCCCAGGCGGTTGGAGTGCCTGGTACACATTGACTACCTATCCCCAGTATTTGATGACCCTGGACAAACCGTCTAAGTGGTCGGACTGGAAGAACAGGTTCTACTTGGTCTCTGCTCCCACCCAGGAGGAAAACCGGGAGTATAGGACATACAACCGGAAGCCGGACCTCCTGGGCCATAAATGCAAAAAGCCTCGTATCCCAGATGAGGACTACGAGCGAATAATTGAGTCCAAGTTCTTTAAACAGACTACAACCACTCTCTCCAATGGGGAGATAATAAGCGTACCTAGAAATTGGGTGCCAAGGCACGAATTTCTTCGTGACGAGGCGTTTTTGTCCGTCTATAAGCTTAGCACTCAGTTTGATAAACGTAGGTCACATTAGAGATTGCCCTTATTTTGTGGTTTGTAATGATTCATTTTTTACCATTCTTTTAACCGGATGGGTTCTTTTGTGCAGTGCGTGGCGTAGCTATGTTGCCTGCTGACAAGATGCCTGCTAAGTCAGCCGCTGAAATCCGCAAGGCTAATGCGGAGAAAAAGCTTGCTGCCTAGGCGGCAAAGAATAAGGTATCTTGCTTTTCCTTTCTTTTTCCTTTGATTTCCGTTTGACATCTTGCCGGCTGACCCTTTGTGCGTTTATTTCAGGATAGGAGCAAGGCGCCCCGCTCCCATACTAAACTAATAAGGCCCAGGCCGGGGGAGGAGCCGTCCATTCAAAATAAAGCGAGGAAGACTTCCTCCCTGACAGTTCCCAGCCGGTTGACGGTTGGGGGTAAATCTGTCAAGCCAACGGGTTTGGGATTTGACCTGGTGCCTAAGTAGTCGGATGTCCAAGAGGCATCCAAGGGGACGGCGCCGCCTAGGGTATCTGGCGCTTCAGTACCGGCTGAGGGTAGTTATGACCCTCATCCAAAATCTCAAGGTACAAATGATCCTTTCAACCCTACTTCGCTTGGCAAGCCCATGCGGGTCAAGTCGCACTCCCAGCTCCAACCAGAAGACTCTTATGGCAGCCGACAGTCCGTAGGGGGGAAGTATGTTGCCTTCTCACCATCTTTTTCTGGTGCAGATCACTCCCCTCGTTAGCCGGATGTACAGCAGTACGGCCGAGCCATGCTGAAGGTCGTTCCTGGAGAGGAGAAGGAGGCGATCCCAGGGATCCACACCTTCAACGCCGACCAGGTTATGGCCGGACTGGCTGAGGTATATGTTCTCTCAATTTGTTTAAGTTATTATGTCGCCTGACCCCTTCTAACACCGATTGGGCTTTTGCAGTCAATGCTGCGCATGGAGGGGCTCAAGAACGCCTACACCCGCAAATGCGAGGAGGTAAGACGGGCTAAACGGGATGCGTGTGAGGCACATAACGTTGCCCAATATTCCATTATTATGCATGAATTAAAAACTAAAGGCATAATCATGAAACAGGCGGACTCCATCAAAACCCTTCAAAAATCTCTCAATG